GATGAGGTCAATGCTCGACTCGACTCGGCTCGTTTGCAGCCCTAGTACCAACATAACACATTATCCATGCAAAAGTAACTAAGTTGAGTTCTAGCTCCATACACGACTACACAATGAGTCAGTAAGCCACGGTCTTGATAAAGCTAAAATATAGGGGATAGAATTCCCATTAAAAATGAAAAGAAACTTATGGGTTCACAGTTCCTATCAAGTAAAAATAAACCAGTCATTCGTTGTATAGCTTTGGTCCACAATAACATCTTTATTCTCTTCAAAAATTTGAGTGATAGCATGTTCGATATCTCCCAAAGTAACCTCAATTGAACAAGTGAAAAAGAAAATCAAATTCTCTGATTAGTTGCAAGAGAACACTTGTTTATAAAGTATTTGTAAGAAGTAATCACGACTACACAAAAAAAAAATAGAACTGCTCTGTCGTAGAAGTTCATGTGCCTCTTTACAAATGTCTGAGGACCCAAAATATTTATTACGACTATAGAGCAATGAAATTAGTCATTTTGTCTCACCAACACAATAGGCTGCTTCAAAATCATTGACCTTGAAATCATTCGAAGCATTAGCAACAATAAATGAAAAGGCAGCTTCCAACTGAGCAAGAGTTTTAATCCATACCAGCAAAAATCTTTTATTACCAACACATTTCCATAAAAATGACAGAAACAATGCAAAATTAATTTGAAACTATAGATTACAGAACAACATATGACAAAATTGAAACACGGTAGTGAAGTTCATATCAAGTATCCTTTGTCATGACTCTTTACCAAATACCATGAAATAAGATCAAAGTGACCTCAACAATTTATATGTACAAAAAGTGCCGGAAAATAACATGTTTATCAAGGTTGAAGTAACTGAGCATTAAAATTTTTGTACATTATATATTGAATCAACTATACATGATAAAAGACTCAAGTAATGAAAATGCATAACAAAGTGCTTTGAAACATATTTTTATTTCATGTGATAATGCATATTTCATTATTTCTTCTATCCATCTTAAACTAAAAAGGGCCAGTAGCGTGTTCACATAGCGGTGGATAAGGAAAAGGATATAACTCATGACCTCAAAACTTAACTCTCTATATTTATTAAATAATTATATGTAATATAATCAAAAGTGATTATCAAAAAGAAGATAGTAATATAAGTTCAAGAAAAATTAAAAAATATAGATCCATAATATTTTCATTCATAGGAATGCAATCCAACATTGTAAGAACCTTATCTTCTAGGAATCTATTTCCCCTGAGAGCTTTTTCCAAAAAGTTCTGAAAACAACCATAATCATTTTATTGATATACTAATATAGGAATATATGTGTGTATATATATATGTATATATATATTTGTTGTACTTGTACAACTTTTGTCCATAATTTACAGGTCCTTCTAATAATTACAATACATCAACAATTAGTATTACATTTACATTTTTGTTTGATTATTTACTTAAAGTATGCATTTTTAAAGATCCACCATAGTTTTCGGCTGTGCACGCACAACCGGCCCAAATTTAGTCGAGCATCAAGTGAAAATTAGGCGTCAATTAAATGCCGTATTGTCGAGCCCCCAGTTCAATATGACGCGTCATCATTACTAAGTAATAGTAGTAGTACTAAATCTTGAATGAGATCATCTCAAGAGTATCTCGAGAGTACCATAAATTGTTATCCATGAACAATGCTTCATAAATAGTCATAACAGTATTGCTTTTGGGGAGAAGAAGGCTACATGCAGCCAAAAAGTTTCTAAACATATGTTTTGTATAATATAATAAACCAAATGGAAAAAAAAAAAAAAGCAAGGCCTCAAATCAGTTTTAGCTCATCCATATGCCATCTCCACTCAACAGTAAAAGGAAACATGTAAGGCAAACACGAGCTTACATGGCAGGCTCGTGCTCCTATTGGACTGTGAGGAGCTTATTGATGTCCTCGTATTTGGAAGGACTTTAAGAATCTCATCATTCACCTTCATTGCCCCAAAGAGGGGAGATTTGTCGTCCCCAACTGTGCATTGGGATTGACGACATTGCTGCAAAAGTGTGATGGTTAAGTCGCTTTGCGTGAAAATTTCAAAAAAATGTGAAACATAAATTGCAAGAAGCAAATAAGCCAAATTTTATATTCCCTTCGGTTTTGTTATTTAGAATTTTTGTTTGAAAACATCTCGTGTATTCTACTCAACCAAACTGATATTACCTCTGGAACTGTACATTATCAACATTGGTGTCTAGTATTACAAATGTTTAATAGGTCTAACCCCCAAACAAAGTAATCACCTCTAGCAAAGGTTGAGCTCGAGAATTGTTTATACAAACTCTTTTATTGTTAGAAAAAAAGGTCTTCGAAATTAGCACCCAATAATTGTTTACACAAGGACTCTTTTCATTTTGTTTGCGTCAATTGAATCTTGCCTTCTTTATGTCTACTTATTTGCTAAAATCTCATCATTTTAAGAAGCATCTGCAGAAAGGCGTAAGCTTGCTTCAGCTGGAACCAACATTCTTGATAGAATGGGTTTAAACATGCTAAAAACTTTATTTAGGCATTTCTTTACAAAGGTCTGGGAAATTTATTTAACAAAATCTTTTCTTAAAACACAGGACCAATTAGGTATGGCTGTAAACAATATATTACTGATTGCACAACGTAAAATAGAATGAGAACTCACAGTCGAAAGAGAGACTGAATGCCAACTCCTGCAAAAAGCCTCCTTATTTTGAAAGTAGCATTTAAACCTACATTACGTCTAGCTATAACAATTCCTTTTATAATTGAAACATGCCGCTTTTTCTCTGTACTTCCTACGAATATAAGATCAGAAATCAAACAATTAAAAACAATCAGTAGGAAAGAAATCGAAAATAGAAATACCTTTTTCCAGTGAGGAGTGGGGGATATCAATTACCACTTCCAGCTGGACAATATAACCAGGTTATTTCTTTGTTTGTTTTCACTTTCTCAATAACTTCTTTATCAATAATTTGTAGTTTGGAAAGCAAATAAACCCATGTATGGAATAGAGAATGTATATCATGAGGAATTGAGGATAAAGAATGGAAAGAAAAGAGTTAAGGTAAAACTAAAATGTTTGCCGACATGATATGTGATATAGCCACACTGACGCATAACGGTCCATATCATCACGGTTCAGAGGTCACCGAGTCGACTTTAGTAAAGTCGACTCTGACAATGGGTTCTTCGTGATGCTCACGATCAAGGATCCCGGCCCTTGTCTAAATCAACATACATATGTCGACTAGCATAAGTCGATTCCCTCCAAGATGATGATCAAGCGTGTCGGGATCCGCTAACGGTTAAATACGATCTAGTCGACTCGAGTCGATATCTCAGGTCGACTGAAGAGGTCTCGCAATTCATAGATCTCGACAGCTCTGATACACTTCAGCGTATCGAGAGAGAGTTAAGGATAAGGAGGAAGCTAAGGAAGGATCTAGAAGCTGACTAGGAAATGGGCGGAATACGAACCGACCAGGGTAACTTGGACATTTCCAGTAAGTCGGCCGGGGCATTGTGGGGACTTCAGGTAAATGTTTCACTTCTATATAAAGGAGCTGAGGTAACTCCAAAACCCTAACTCCCATTTATTCCATACATTCTCTCTTCTGCTGCTGCTCTCTCTCTCTCTGAGCAGCTATCCTCATCCCTTTCACATACTGACTTGAGCGTCGGAGGCTCTACGATGGAAACCCCTCCGGCGTTGAGTTCTTGCAGGTGTTCTTGCGGCTCAGCAATGGTTCGAAGGCCATCAAATCAAATCTGAGCTCATTCATACCGGTTCATCCCAGATCCGAACGTTTTCTCATCAGACCGTTCCAGATCTGAGAAGAGACCCATCAATATGCCTGGAAATTGTATTGATCCTCTTGAATTTGATGTGCTTGGGTACATACTCCTATAAAACACGCAGCAGTAGCAAATATAAAATTGTTAAAATCGGGTATGCCGACAACACCGTCGAAACAACAGCACTGGCTGCATCTGTAATGGGCGACATTCATAATCGCGACCAACACGCTACCTCTTCAAAACAAAAACATAGAAAACAGATCGAAAAAAGCAAGGAAAAGAAAAAAAAAATCAAATGCATACTTTTCAGTGTTAGTTGATTTCAGCCATATAAGCCCTCTTTAGTTCTCCATCGAACATCAAACCAGAAACTGTATATACAAAAAAAA